GACGAACGTAACATTTAAAAGAATGCATGTTCCATTACTCTTACTATTTAATTACTTCCATAAATTTTAGAAAATTGCTTTTCTTTTCCCCTATTTAATAATAAATAGTACTATTAAAATATAAACATATTTATGGATCTATAATTTGTTCTTCAAGATCTCCAGAGAATTCTTTTGATCCTTCGAAAAACGCCCCTAACACTGACAATTTCTTATGAAAAGGTCTCGCCTTACACGTATAAGCCCCGGTAAAAGTTTTTGCATCCGTATCACTGTTTTCATTGAGTGGTTCTTTAGTCCTTACGTTAAACAAATGTCTAAATTTTAACTCCTCTGACACATGCGTGAGCCGTGAAGATGGGCAACAATGAACCGCGCCTACGTCTATAGGATGAGCTTCTGTATTGAATACATAACCCGCAGAGCCGGTTGTACAAGAAAGTGATAAAGACGAAGTCGTTTGATGATGCTCTGACTCATTTGTTTGGTGAATGAAATTATGTTCATCAAACAGAAGATACAAATACTTGGTCGTCTCTGCTAAGAAAAAGGACTCCATTCTATCTTCTTTTTCGTGTGTTTTCACATCTTTTATCTGCAAATAAGGATAGTTTAAGAGCGACTTAATTCATGTGGCCAGCAATTATGCATATATATTGGAAAACGAGAAGGCGCTTACAGATGAAAAGAGTTCAACTCCCTTCGGACTGCTTTGAGACCCAGCATGGCGGACGTGACGTCACGTGAAGGGGTTTGTATAGCGATTTGAAGGAATCTCTTTACAGTGGGTCCCTTAGGAACCCCTAGTTCTCAGGCACTCTTAGGCTTTTCGGCGGGTAGTCGAGGCCGAGGCGCAAGGAGTCCTGGCCTTCCCATTTGCCTTTGCGCTTTCCCATGATCTTCCTTGCGCTGCGACCACCGCAGAGTAGCGCCTGAGTACGAGGCAGGGGTAGGGGAAGGGGCAGAACATTTAAAGTTTCATAATGCTTATTGTCATAAAAAAACGTTAAACAAAGACTGCAGCTGCGTGGGTTTAGGTTGAGATTTGCTGATCATTCCCTTATAACGTACCCCAAAACTTACAGATTTTTTTTTTACTTTTATTGCTGAGCGAGTTGGCACATCTCGCTCTGAGTAGTTACTGCTCTAGCATCCAGTAGCTCAAACGATGGCCTAATCACTAACCCCCTATCAGGCAGTCCGTCTTTCTTTTCTCTTTTGGAAACCCCCTTGCCTGTCCGCCGACTTTCGCGTTACGTCGGAAAAAAGGAACGCCTGACCGCAGGTTACTACATCAACAACTTCAGGCTTAGCAGTAACGAAACTCATCGCTTTACCTACCGGGCAGTAACCTATACATCTTTAGAACAACTGGCAGTCTCAGTTTTTGGGTTGTCACGCAACAATTCTTCCCCAATATAAAGCATTGCGCGACAACAAAATGGCTGCAATGGAGAAACCCGGAGCGTAGAAGGGAAAGGGCTTTCAGAAAGACAATTACAATTTTCATGTTCGTACTCACTGTAGCATATCCACAAGGTGTTCTAGCGCTACTTTCTATAGAATGCAACATATCTCTTCCTACTTCAAGGAAATAAGGATCCTTAGTTGCACGGTACAAGTACATGGCGCTTTCAATCAACTCTACAGTAAGTAATGACAACAAATCAATTAAATTAATAATGTCAGAACATCCACACTGAGAAAATAAAAGTTTGCTCTAGTATTAATAATTGAGGAGCAAGGCCCAGGGTACCTTAAGGAACAATGAGATGGATGCTTGTCAAACTTTTAAGGTGCAAAGTTTGTTGATTGGTATAACTTAGGGTGCTTAAAAGTAGAAAAAACACCGTAAGAGCTGCCATGATAGCCTTTGGGAGCCGTTCAAGATATTGAGCCAAAAGAAGTATTTGGTAATACCAGAAACTCATAAGGGGTTGAAACGTGTAACTCTCATATGTTTGCTTTGTCCGATGCTCGTGATTATTCATTTTCGAAAGTACCATATTTGGAACGAGATTTGTTTTCCATAAACGTGGCTCTAAATATCTCTAAAATCTTCACATGGTCTGCATGAGGGGGAATCTTATTAATCTTAGCAATATTATTCTACTGAAGGACAATGTGCAAAGTTTATGTTATCACCTAACATCCACCTTTATTACTCTCTTTGACAGATATAAGCAAAGCTCTTGTCATCACCGAGTTGGGTGCTTCTAGGGAACTTGCAAACATGGAAGTTGTGAATAAGAATTTTAGGACTGTAGCAGAGCCACCAATTCGAGTTCATGGGTAAGAAACTGAGCTGTAGTGTTCATCAAAGGTGCAAACCCTCTCAGATCTGAAATCGTGAAATTTTCTCACTCATTGACCCAGTCTGTGAACCAGGTTCCTTGGTGGGGAAAACGCTAAATAATGGGGGTAACAGTTGGAGATTGGGGAGGAGAAAAGTGACAGCTCCTTCCCCACAGTTCTCCTGCCAACTGACTTGCCTCTTTCTTCCCATTTGCCCTGTCATTCGCCTTTTTTTCTTTTCCATTAAGGAGCCAGGTGCCGGGCTTGACTTCTGGTTTTTTTGAATTTTAACGACTAGCCTGTGTACAGAAGCCCCCTTCCCCCAAAAGATTTTTTAAGGGGAGGGAGAGTCTGTACAAAGGTTAGTAACTAGACTGCAAAACAGTTTGGTTTTTTATCAAAATCGGTTTAGCGTAGTGTAAGAGTAGCGTAAGAGTCTCACGCGCGCAAAGCGCGCAAGCCTCACACGTCCAGCGTGTCCCTCTTTCCAGTCTTGTTCTGCATTTTCAGCCTCGCTCCAGACCTTTTAATAGTTTGACTGTTCATGCGTACCTGAATACACAAAAATACGGACTGTTTTGCGGTCTAGTTAGTAACAAGAAGTTTCCTTGCTATTTGCATAAAGTGATTGTAGTTATTTTTTGCTTTCTCTTATTCTGTGTAGCATCAGAATGTTAGGATCAGCTGCACTTAATTTGTGCTCCATAGCCGAGGGTAGTGCTGACCTGTATTATGAGTTTGGAATTCATGTTTGGGATATCGCTGCTGCTGGTTTAATAGTTGAAGAAGCTGGAGGAGTTCTTTTAGATCCTTCTGGTATGTAAAGCCCCATTTTACACAGCCAGGCGACATACCGTGCACATATTATGCTTTCAACATTTCGATTCGTTGTAGTCTTTGTAGCAGTCGTCTCTGTTTGCTTTTAGCCAAGCAGTATATACCCTGGGTGCCAGATACTTTTCTAGCGCGGTTTGCCTTACGGTTTCCGGTTTCTGCTCGTGGCTTCAGACTACGGCCGAAGATGTGTCGGCCTTCGGCCGACACCGAAAATTCCTGCCGCACGCGTGAGAAAAACCTCTGGTACCCAGGGTAAGCAGTATAAGACTGAGCGAAAGACGCGTGAGGGCTAAAAGGTGCCAAGTCCTTGTGCGTCTTTCGCGCTTCTCCCGCTTGGCTTAAAGAAACGGAAACGACTGGTACGAATCTACATTTTAGCTCCGTTGTTTCGAACTTCCAATTTTGATGCCATTAGTTAGTGACTTTACTTGCGCAAAAGTAGACTCTTCCCCTCTTTCC